TTCATCATATCCGACAAAGATGCATTTCCTTGCCTTGGCATCTAACCTTGCTCCGTGAGAAACACGGAATGTGAACATAACAATTAGGAGCCAAAAAACCCTGAGGTGTTTCACGCTAGGCTTTTCTCCAACATTAATTCATAGGGAGACTTCATATTGTTTGGAGAAAGCGGCATCCTGTTAATCACGTACGCTGCACATTTCATACCTTCAGCCCACAGGGCTCTAGGTAAATTCTTAGCGTGAAGCCAACTCTTACGTGTCTCAGTTAAGTGTCGGATCTTCCTTTCAGCCACTCCATTTTGTTGTTTGGTGTATCAGCGCATGTCAGCTCTCTTTTATGCCAGTGCTGACGACAAAAGGAAAGAAACTCATCTGATGTGAACTCACCGCCATTATCAGTTCGCAACCGTTTATTCTGGAATCGAGTTTCACCTTCAACTGTTTCTTTGAACTCCACAAACTTTCTGAAAAACTTCTTGACTTGTGCTTCACAAAAATAACCCAAGTGAATCTAGTAAAATCATCAATGAAAATTAGCATATAAGAGATAGCCTGAAAATGAAGGAGTTCTCGTTGGCCCCATCAAGTCACTGTGAATAGTTCTAGTGGGGCATTGCACCTGACAAGGATCTCTCAAATGGAGACGATGTGCCTTTCCATATTGACATCCTTCACAAACCTCTCCTCCACCAAAATTTCTTAAGTTAGGCAAACCTTTACTATATTTAACTTTACCATGCTTTTAATTATATCCATGCTTAGATGTCCAAGTCTAGCATGCCAAAGATGTGTATTATCATTGCTTACTCATCTCTCAATATATAAATTAGAGGCAGATAAAACATATAAATCGTTTAACTCTCTTACCTGAATGGACGATATCTGCCTTGAGCACCTTGATATTTCGGAGGAATTCACTCACGTGGGCCAAATAGCAAATAGTTTCCAGCATTCTACAGCATTTGCAAACTGAAAATAAATTTTTCTTCATACCTGGAACATGAAAGACACTGTTGAGGGTGATAGTGTCTTTTTGCTTCTCGTTGATCACAACAGTGCCTTCCTTCTCCACATTATGGACTGTATTATCTGCTGTAACGATGCATCATGTCCGTTTGTATTCGTGAAAAGTGGAGAATTTGGATTGAATCTCCAGTGAGATGGTGCCCACATCCTGAATCCACGATCCAGTCTGTTTTAAAATTTTATGGAAGCCATGGCATTTATTGCTGAGTCTCCTGCTGCGAAACACTTCCCCATGTCTTCTTCTTGGTCTTCTTCTTCAGCAACTTTCATGGTTTTGAGCCAAAAATATTGCTCTTCCCTTGACTCGACATGATCTTTTTATATTAGCCGATTTTGCCCAAACGGTAAGCATTTTAAAAAAAGCTTTTTACTGTTACTCGGAAGACTGCCCTTCTTTGCCTGGCGAGCCTTGAACCACTTGAGATTTGTAAAATTCATGCTATCTCTTGATTTTCTTTATTAGTTTTCTTCTCTTATTCGGGCGACAGAGCATTTCCTTCCCCCTTCTTTATAGATACACCAGCCATTTTGTTGGCTAGTTAGTTCTTGGTGGACGACATCAATTCTCTAATTCTTTCCCAAAAGATGGGTTGTTTATCCCATCCCTTGAATGGATGTAACAATATGGAATATAATTCTGGCTTTTAAAACCCGAATAATGATTCTTCTTATCGTGCTTCCAAAGATACCTGTCCCGGAGATTCAATAGAGAAATTTCGGAACACAAGATTTTTAAACCTTCAAAGAAACTTCTGCGATAGAGAGGATTAGCTTGAGTGGTGTTAGCTAACATCATTCTCTCCAAAATTGTAGCCGAGCTTTCAATCCTTCTTGTTGAACAGTCGATCGAGGTCCTCCATAATTTCTGAGCTGATTTACACCCTATAATATGATCAAAATAATTAGGAGAGAAGGACCTCTTTAGGAATAAACTCCGTTTAGCAATTAATACTGCTTCCACTTCTTACGCGCATTGCTATTTTCTGGTTGCTTCAAAAAGGAGGACTTTGTTACTTCCGCATTGATTAAACTTCCCACAAATCCTCAACCAACAAGGTATGACTCACATACAAGATTTTCCATACCTGTAGTTGACTGATTCAATAACTCAATTCCCAATCATTAGCAGCGACCACCTCCAATCCATTTAGCAGAAAACCAGTTGAATCAAACCACTAACCGACCTTTGAAAATCCAAGAAGCCGTCACCTGGCCTCTGATTACCATGTAAATGAATACAGAAAAGAGTATTATTAGAAACCTTCTGCTAGCCCAAGATCGTTAAATAATATTGGAACTGATTCAAACTAAAGAAGAGGGAAGCTTGAAAAGAGAGAAAAAAGTTTTGGAGAAGGAAGAACTTTGTTTGAGGAAAAGAAGGCTTTCTTGATTTTGGCTGGTTTACAAATAAAAAGAACACCCCCTATTTATACATTAGCCTATGGTATATTGCAAGATATGATTCATAGATAATGTACAAGAAGATTCTACACACCTTATTCTTCTAACAACATCTAGAATATCGAGACATTCTTATCTTTCCCACAACATCTAGACATCTAGATATGTCCTGCTAAGATAAATATCAAGATACTATACTAGGACATATCTAGAGGATTCTAAGGTAGGATAAAAATATATATATATATATATATATATTAATCTTATATATATATATAATATATATATATATATATAGTGATTATAGTAGGCTATATATGTACGGTATACTCATTAACAATTAGATCCTTTTAAATTTTTTGAAATTATTATTGAAACTAATATTATTTCAGTTTAATAATTGAATTAATTTTTTTTAACTCTTTGCTTACAATTGTATACCCTATTGGTATAGCTATATATTATATTGATATCATATGTTAGTTAATATTTTTTGATTGTATTAGCTACATTTAATTGGTACACAATATGATTTTTCTTTAGTAATAATATAAAAGAAAAAGAATAACAAAAAAATAGTGAAAACAGTAAATGAAATTAGATTATGAAAAGAGAAAAATTATAAAAAAAAGAAGTTAAATGAAATTAGAGAAAAAAAAGAAAAAAAAGAAGAAAACGAGAAAAAAGAAAAGGAGAAAAGAAAAAAAAAGAAAAGAAGAAAGAAAAGAAGCATAGAAATAAAAAAGAATTGGAGAATAAAAAAAAATTTCCTCACAAAAACTACTATGGGTAGGAAATGTAATTAGTTTTTGGGTAGAAAAACAAATAGGTAGACAAAGGATAAATAATTTTGTTTTTGTGGGTAACTATGTCAAAACCCCCCAAAAACTTTTCCCAGCCCAAAAACTTTTAATATATTTCCAAGCCCACTGCCCACTCCAGCGCCCCAGCCCAACTGCCCAAGCCCCAAGCCCACTCTCTATTCAATTAGGGCATTAGATTACTGCATTAGGCACTAGCAGCAGTCACGAACGAACAGACTCCTCACTCCTCACAAAGTCATTCCGATTTAGGGTTTAGCATTAGCATTCCGATAGTTTAGCAAATTCCGGGCAAAACTTTTGAGCTTCAGTGGCTTTGTTATTGGGTATGAACAAGATCATCTTTCACATGTTTCTTTGTGGGATTTCAATTATTTAGTCGTTTAACTTTGAACTTGAGAAGTGTTAGGTTTCATTTTAATGTCATGAACTTGCTACAATCCGGTATATTCAAGATTTCTTTTTCCTCTTTAGGGTGATTCGATGTATGAAGAACCTCTAACTGTAGTTACATGATCGTAATTTGCAATGAATTTATCTAAAATCAGATGAGGTGACTGGTACGTCTATCTGGGAAGATTTTAAGATAGTCTCTACATGCTGTAAAAAGTTTCTATTTTCAGCTGTAATGCATGACATACTAGCATATTAAAGGCATAGACTGAAAAAACCGAATGGAATAGTCTAGTGGTAAATTTTGAACTTGAGGCCAAAGAATTTCTCTCCCGTAATTGTGTGTATTTTCATAGTTTTAGGATTTGAAGG